TGTTAAGGGTTTTTTTTTTTTTTTCTTCTGCTAAAGGAAGAGAGGACTAGGAGAGGAGAATAGAGGAGAGAAACTCAAAATGAAACTAATGGAGGTGTGCAGAACATTGACCCAACTAGAGAGGAGAAGTTGTTCTACAACTGAATTTTTTCATTAGACTTTGCTGCAGTATATAGCAGAAACTACAACAAGAAATAGTTCTTTTCTTTTACCTAATATTCACCTAATATGTGACAACAATTTCATACATCCATGAAACAAGGGAGAGCCATAATTTTACAACTAAAGCTTTGACAAAATGTAGAAGTTTGCTGCCATTTCTTGCAGCTTTGACATCACAGCTCCAAGCAAGATTAAGGCTCATCGCATGAATTATATTGAAGAAAGGAGAAAAATCTTGCCTTTTGTTTTCCTTCGAAACATTTGTCAAGGTTGATACATCATGCTTATGGTATATTCCTACAATTCTACATTGCAGCTATACTGGCGTACAGCAGGATGACAAACTATTTCTATGCCTATTACATTCTCAGGACTCTCACTGGCATGGTTGGTGATGGCAGCATGATTTGCCTTCCTCTTGCATATCTGGTAGGTACCTACTCTTCATTCTCTTCCAATAATACATCGTCTAGAACAAATAAACTGGTTTTGACTTGTATATATTTGCTACTGGCTTGAAAAAAAAAAATTTGTTTGCTGAAGTTAGTATTTCCTTTTCAGGCAGACAACCTTCCTGATAGGCAGCGAGCATCTGCATTTGGAATTCTTTCAGGTGTAGGCTCAGCCTCATTTGTCTGTGGAACCTTAGCAGTTCGCTTCCTCTCCACCTCTTCCACATTTCAGGTTTATCCCTTCGTTACCCAGCTCAACCAAATGCTCCTTAATATCAAGTTCTGAGTTTGATTCTCTTGATAAATGCTTTCAGGTAGCTGCATTTGTATCAATGCTTGCCGTGGTATACATGAGAATTTTCCTAGAGGAAAGCATGCCTAATGATGCTGATGGTTTGACACGGCCAATCCTAAAGGAAGGACCAGATGTCATTCAAAACAATAGCGATGAGCCCAGTAAGATAGTGGTATTCAGGAAAATTCCATCTGTGAAGGATTTTATTTGCTTTCTGCGGTCTAGGTAGCTACATTATCAATTATCTAAAAGGATTAAACTTTGTGTCTTTGTCATGTTATCATTGTTTGAAATGGCTAATAAAGTTTGAAATTCCAGTTCCTCATTTTCACAAGCAGCAGTTGTTGCCTTCTTCAACAGCCTAGCAGAAGGTGGGATGATGGCTTCAATGAATGTATGTCTCTCCCAATTTTAAGGCACTTGAGATAAGATCTTTATTCTCTTAAAGAATGAAATATTTATGATTGAAAAAAAAAAAAAAAAAAAAAAAAGGGGGGGCAAAAGCCTTTTAGGCCTTCCAAGAAACGGCAGTTATATGTAATGATTTCCTATCATGCATGCAGTACTTTTTGAAGGCACGTTTTCACTTTAACAAGAACCAGTATGCTGATCTTATGCTAATTTCTGGGGTTCTAGGCGCTGTTTCACTGGTATAAGCTATTACTGCCAACCTTTTTTACTTCACAATTTCTTCAAGTTTTAGCATCTTAAGTCTCCAAATGCTTGTGAATTCTACTTAATCCTGCAGTTGCTTCTCATGCCAATGTTGGCACCTCGTATAGGAGAGGGGAAGTTGTTGTCAACAGGACTCTTAGTTTCCTGTATAAATGTAAGTGTTCTAGTGTTTCCCTCTAAAAAGTTCTCTTTGTTTTTTCCACGCAAAGCTTTCCAGATTATATTTTATATCAGAATCTATCAAAGGAAAACTGTTGATGCATTTTACCTGGTGTGGTCCAGGGGTTGCTTTGCAGCATATCTTGGTCAGCTTGGGTAATTTCTTCGTAAAAGCTCACAAGCTCTTGGTATATCATGCAGATGTTCTTGTATTATTTTCATCCATCTAAATACTCTGGTATTTGCTTCATTTTCCATGTAGGTTCCTTATGCAGCTACTGTATTTTCAATGCTGATGGTCCTTGCATCACCATGTGTAAGTTTTCCACTTTCATCTCCTAGACACTTAATTTCTTTGGTGTTTTGAAGGACAAGAATTATTTTTTGACATAGTTTTCTGATTTACACAGTTACGCAGCATTGCATCAAAACAGGTTGGTCCCAGAGAACAGGTAATTTCAGCAACCATTTTCTTCCCTTATGCTGTTTTGGTTGCCAAGCATCACTACTGTTTGTCCTTCTCAATTTAACCAGTTCAACTGGAATTTATCCCATGCATATCTAATATCAGGGTAAGGCTCAAGGATGCATCTCAGGCATAAGTTCCCTCGCCAACATAATTTCTCCATTGATTTTCAGTCCTCTAACTGGTAAGTCAACTCTTATGCTTCTTCCTCTTCTCTTGGCCTCTTCTATTGAAAGATATCAACTAATAATGACCTCTCCTGACTGTCCATCCAGCTCTCTTCTTGTCTGAGAATGCTCCCTTTTACTTCCCTGGCTTTAGTATCATGTGTATTGGATTGGCATCGGTATGAACTTCCACAAAACTCAGCTGATCTTTCCTTCCTCAATTGTACTTCATTAGCTATTGGAGTTAAAATGACATTTCCTTTCCAGATGATTTCATTCATTCAGAGTCTGATGATAAAAAGTGTTACCTTGACTCCAAGCACCAAAATCAACAGCAACTGCCTTGACGCCTAATTTCAAAGGGTTTCGCCATGCTTTCAATGCAGAGCAGGCAACTGGACAGTGGCACTTGCATGTTGTTCACTGGCAAAAGAAAATGATGAAAGCCTAATAAGTTTCGCAAATTAGATGAGATTAATCCCTAATACAAGGTTCTATTATATTAGCAAGAGGATCATAAATCATCTAGGTTTTATTTTAGAAGAAAAATTAACAGCTGTAATATATTTCCATCTCCTAAGCATTTGTAAATAGCTTCTGTAAAATGATATCTTTACTGGTATGCAATTTGACAATCTATGGCCTTGCATTGTAAATTACAAAGTTTTTATAATTTTAGTCCTTTTTGACTTGCAAAAACTGATATGGTTATAATATGATGATTTGTTATTATATAATTAATTCTTTTTATTTAGAGGTTTGCTTGTTATATTATATGCATTCACTCTTAAGTGATATTTTACATTTACTTAATATCACATTATAACCGTAAACTTACAATCCAGCGTAGCATTGTAACTATGGCATTGTCATTTCATTTATGTTTTGGTTTAAAAATAAGAAAATTGGATTTTTCAGCCGATCTCCTTTCCGATGATTGTGAGCCAAACTATGTTCCTAGACAATGTTGCAAAATAGAGGGTGGAGTTACATAAAATATGTTACTAATTGCTTTAGACACCTTCAAAGACTTCAAAACCACAATAATATAATAAAAGCTAAAAATGCTAAATTAAATGTAGCATTCTAAGGTAATTATCCTAAAACAGAATAAATAAATAAAAAAAACAACATACCACAAAAATAAATTTGCTGACAGCAAACTGTGTGAAATTGTAAACAATAATTTTAACTATATAATCCATAATTATTAAACTAATTACTTACTAACTACTCAATTGTTAAAACCAAAAGTGAATCTAAGAATTGATTAAAGTGAGGAATCTTGTGAAATTAAATCCTAATCTAGAAATTAAAGTTAAAAAGACTGTAAATTTGGTAGTTGTCAAAAAATGAAGAAGAGAAGGCAGAAAGCATTCAAGCTATTTACATAAACAAATAATAAAGATGAATCTATAAAAGATAAAAACACTAACCAAATCAATGAGGAGACCCACTTATAAAGTTAAATTACTTTCAAGTCCTTAAAAATTAACGTAAGTTGTAATTTTTAAAGAAAAATATGAATAAGGATGGAAAAAACTAAACTAAAACTATGAACAATAGTGGGTCTTGCATTCTAATCTAGAAATCACACTGAAATTTGGAAGAAAAAGTTTGAAAATTGAAGATGCATTCGTGCTGGGTGATTTGTCTATAAGACCGGCCGTGTGTCTGTGTGTGTTGAATAGATTTTTTCATCTCTGCTGGACAGTTTCCCCCAGAACTCTCACTTTTGCTTCAATGAAACCCGCTGTAGAGGGCCACATCTGGGAGCATTTTCCCCTGTCCGGTAACTGGCCGATACTCTCAAATAAATCTCCAATAAAATCTAGATAATCTTTCTTAAAATCTCTTCACAATCCCTTAATTAGATTAAATTTAACCACTTAAAAATCTTACCTTAGTTGGACTCTAACCTCTCTATTATATCCCATTCAATCTAAAACTCAAGCTACCTATAATCTCAACTCAACCCATCATTACAAATGTATGCCAATTAATCCTAAAGCACACACGTGACCTTTATTTTAGGTGTGAACAGATAGTATCTTTAATGCATTGCAATTTGACAATCTATGCTCTGGCATTGTAAATTTCAAAATTGTTTATAGTTCTAGCCCTTTCTAGTTACTGGCTATTGAAATGGCCAAGTTTTTAACATGGACATATCCGGTGAAAACTACATGCTAGATTTTTCTGCTTGTAGCCAAGGTAAAACCAGCTTTTCACCGAAATTGATCTCAGGACGAAATGATCAGATCGAATCTTTTCCAAATCACATGTTGCATGTAATTTCAAATGTTTCTAGAATCCCCAATTTGTGACAATCATCTTGCAAGGTTTCAGATTCAAATCCATCCTCCTTGGTGTTTGTGTTTGTACATGTTAACATGGTCAATAGCTTCAATTTAAATGACCTTATAATATATATGTGCATTCATGAAAGCAATTGTATGTGCACTTGGCATTTTCCATACCTTTCGTCTCTGATCTTTCTCTTACCTTCATGGCTATGGCAGAACTGAAAGTTGTCCCTGACAACAGAAAAAAGAGGATAATAATGCTCCGGTTCATGGCACATGGCCATCTCAATCCTTTCATGGCGTTAGCAAGAAAGCTAGTCCAACGAGAAAATTGCACCATCACCATTGTCAATACCCCTCTCGACATCCAAAAACTCAAATCCTCATTTCTTTACCATTCCGAAGCTAACATGTCTTTTGCCGAAGTTCCCTTCAATACCGCAGAGTATGGCATCCGGAGGATACAGAGAACACAGAAAAACCCCCCCATGAACTCTTTGTCCGTTTCTTTGAAGCATCTGCAAATCTCGAGGCCCCCTTCAGGAAGCTTGTAATTGACGTTACAGAGAAAGAAGGTCCACCACTGGCTTGTATCATCTCCGACATGTTTCGCGGGTGGACAACCAGGGTTGCCGACGAGCTCGGAATCTTTCTCTCTGTTTTCATAGCAGGGTCTGGCTATGGTATGGGGTTCACTTTTCTCTTTCACTGAACATAAGCCAAATTGAGAGTGGGGAAGAGTTCTCACTTCTTGATTTTACTGAGGCCTTGAGACTTCACCAGATCCAACTAGGGAGGGATCTCAAGTATGTAGACGATGCAGTCTCTTTCTTCTCTCCTCGGAAGCGGCAGTTCTTGTTCTGTTTGAGCTCTGATGCAATTCTGTTGAACGGCATAGAGGAATTGGATAAAATGGGGGCAGCATATTTTCACCGGAGAATGGGAGGGAGGCCTGTGTACATGATTGGACCTGTTTGTTCTTTCCCCAAGAAAGAAGTTTCAAGTGATTTTTCTGCATGGCTGGATCTTCACCCACCAAGGTCGGTTCTTTATGTTTGTTTTGGATCACAATTGACCATCTTACCTTCACAGATGAGAGAATTGGCAAAGGGTTCGAAGGAAAGTGGTGTGGCATTTATATGGGTCATCAGGCCACCTTTTGGATTCAGTGCGACCGCAGAATTCGATCCAGAATGGTTACCCGATGATGCGAGGATCGAATCAGGAAAAGAAACCACGGGATTTGGTTTATAGATGGGCTCCCCAGGTGGAGATTCTTTCTCATGAATCAACAGGTGGGTTCCTTAGCCACTGTGGCTGGAACTCAGTACTGGAAAGTTTGGGTAAAGGGGTTCCTATCATTGGCTGGCCTCTGGTGGCAGAGCAGTCTTCAACTCCCAGTTCCTGGAAACGGAAATGGGTGTTTGCTTAGAAATGGCTCGAGGGATCGAGTCGGCAACGGTTGGCTCTGCTCATGTTGCAAGAATAATCAGGACGGTGATGGGCCGAACAGATATGGGGTTGGAGATGAGTAGAAGGGAAGGAGAAATTCAAAAGAAAATGGAAGGGGCATTCCAACAAAGAGATGGTCTTAAGGGATCTTCTGTTTCTGCCATGGACGACTTCCTCAGCACAGTTAAGTAATACCAACAAAAAACATCAGAACAACAAAGTACCTTGGCCTAGGCACACACAGAGTGAATAAACATCAGAACAACATAACTACATGAATAATGGAGAGAGAAATTTATTTCCCAAAAAAAGAAAGGAGAGAGAAATTTAAGATATGTAATAAAATACGCAGTCAGACAGCAAAATCTTCAAAAAAAACCAGTCCATTTGTAATATGTAACTTAAGCCTTATATTTATGCACAAACAATTCCTAAAGTTGCTTATTGGCCAAAGCGTTGCCACAAAATCAATCAACTACAGGAATCCTCAGGTGCAGATGCAACTTCTCCATCATCTGAAGAAGCATCACTGTCAGCATTGAACGACGACAGTATAAGCTCTAGAAGTTCTCGACCTGCAGATGAGTTCTCTCCATTTTCTTCTAGGTTACTTCTCCGCCTTTGCAGTGAAACTAACTGCAACATCAGGTCCTCCGGTGAAGCCACTCGGAACATCCAGCCCCTGGGCCTAGCCTTTGGTTTGAACTGGACACACTGCAAAAATTAGTGATCATTAGTAGAACCATCATAACTTATGCAGTAACTTATTTAACATTATCACTGGCTTCATTGACATTATTAACATCATCATCCATATCACAATCATCCTCATCTCAATCTTCATCATCACTAGCATGAATGGTGTCATCGCTGCTGCTACCACCTCTAACATCCTCCATTCATCATCATAATCATCCATGTAACCATCATCATAGTCATCATGATACACATTGTCGTCGTCATCATCATCTTTGTTATCAAAATTTTCATCCTCATCCTCATTATAAAAATACACATCATCATTATCTTCGTCATTGCTGTCTAGTTTTTTTCACAAAAAGAAAACGGAAAAACAACTAAAGCTAAACCCAGCTGAAAACCATAATAGTTTCGCTCATTCAGAAAGTCTCAGACTAAATCCCTTAACCCTTTTCTTAGAAGAGAGATTCTAAAATCAAAATAAAGAGTAAAATTAAAAAAACAAATCCAAAGGACAAAATTTACAGCAAAGGAGCTGATCTTACTCTGTTTTACCAAGTGTAAAAATCAATTAACAAACATAAATGAGGACTTTATCAGCTGAATATTGGTCTAATACTAATTACAAGGGATAGAAGGGGGAGGTATAAAGAGTGTGGATAATTTCCAGCTCAGTTTCAAAAATGTACTTCCATGAAGAAATACTTATTTGATATTTTAAATCACCTTCAGAACTCAACTATACATCAATGCCCTCAAATAGCATTGTAGTAAGAAAATTCAGATTTGTTTTCTATATAGCTGATAGTAAAAACGCATACCTGTTCAATGTTTTCAGGAAGAGGGGCTCTCTCTTCAGCCTTTGGAGTCCATATCTTGATGTCAGTCTCAATGCCGCTGCTTGCAAGCACTGTGGTGTGAGGATGAGACTCAATGCAGTTCACAACATGCTTATCTGCTTCTATAACACGAATGAGCTCTCCACCTTTCTTCCTCCATATGAATATCCTGCCACAGTCGGACCCACTAACCACATACTCACACCTAGGCCCAAAGAAGCTCACACCTTTCACTGTCTCAAAATTTCTGTGCCCCTTATAGACTTGGGGGATAGATTTTTCATCTGCTTCCATGGCTGATGAGGATGCAGATGATTCACTGTGTCCCTTTTCACTTGCTTCACTATGTGGGGACAATGGAGATGATGGAACTGGATTAGGCCCCAGTCCCATGTCTTTTGTAAACAGATAGATGCACTCATCATTGTATGACACAAGAAGCTCACTTTGATCTGAGAAAGCCAAACCTGTTATTCCAACTTGTTCATCACCAATCAAATGTACAGGGCAAAAGCAATCTGTAGGTTGACCAAAATCAGTTGAACCATTCCACTTGTATTTACGAATATCATAAAGACGAGTGTACTCGTCTGACCCAGCAACAGCAAAGAGATTTGGGTTCCTTGGATCAATTGCAATAGCATTTAGATGAATAAATGGCATGTAACCCCTCCTGCTATCATCAAGTGGTCGGCAAGTGAAAAGTTCTGTAGCAGCTGCTGTTCTGAGATCAATCTGAAAAACATCAGTGTCAGTGCCACATGGTTATGTGATTCAGCAATTCATTGGAGGAAACATTTGGGCACAGCATGGCAAAAGTAGAATGAAAATACTCTTCCATTAGATACAGTCTTTGACTGTGACTCAACCAGCCTTTTGATTTAATAATTAGGTAGATGGTAAGCAGGAAACAGAAGAGCAACGCTCCAATCAATGAACAACACAGCAAGATTCAAAATTTCTAAGCATTACCATCTACAATTAAACAAGATTCTAACTAATTGGCACAGAACAATTAAAGTCATTATGCAGGTATGGATCCTCATAGGTGGAGACCTGGAAGAGCAGCATTTTGCTCGAGGACAGCACTTGAATCTTGAATCAACACTCACGTTTGTCAGCCCAAGACTATTATAACTGCCCCTAAAATTACTCATAGGTACAAAATCATTTAGTCTTCTTGAATATCAGGAATGCAATCAAATCCTCCCTTCCTCAGCTAAAGAATATAAGGAATGAACAATTATTGGCAAGTAAACACATACTAAGCCATCTTCACAACAAATTTGAAGTAATGAGATGGTAGAAATATAAAATGAAAACTAAAAAACAAAGAATCAATAGATTTCCATTGTCTCCATCACAAACTATTCAGGCATTTTCAGGAATTTAAGGAAATGACAATTACTAGAAAAGCTATACATACAACTTACGTGCTGCACTAATCCATCTTCCCCACAAGTATAAAATATATATGGGCTTCCTGGTTCAATAGCCAACTTATGAGCTCGTCCATGGTGTTTGGCTAGCAATTTAGTGTTCACATCACGTTCCAAAATTTGTGCATGTCGAACCTACAATTGAGCAAGGTTCAAGAATTAAAACACTTTAATTCACAATGTAGGCAGTTAGGCACAACTGCACATGATAGAGCTTGCTACCAAAACAGAAAAAAAAAAAAAAAGGATTGCTTATGGCATTCTCCTACATTGGATGAATAGTGAAAGAAAACGTCCAAAAGAGAGCTTCAATCATCTGATTCACACAGAAAGATTTTAACTAAAACAAGATATCCCAGTACATTAACTTGAGAATAACCTTGCACTGATCTAGGAACTTACCTGTCCATCTGCAGCACAAGTAACAATGCTGCGATCATCCGAGTAAGGCATTATTTTTGCTTGGAAAACATTATTGTTATGACCTGAATGGAATGAAAGCTTAACTTTCCCAGTTTCCCAATCCCATAATATAACCCGCCTATCATCGGAGCCTGACACCAGAATATCACCATCAGCATTGAAGCTTACTGTATTCACACAACCTCTGTGTTTGTCCAGTTTCCTGAAAAGGTCAAGTCGGAGAAGAAGATCCTGGGAAATCAAGTTTAGACTAATCAGAACCGAATTGCAAACTATCTACAACAACACAATTTCATCATTTTATAATTGATTTGTTGAATTTAAGTGATTCACATCCCAATGAATCAAAAAGATGTAATGGGTTCTTCCTATCACTTGAACACCCAAGGCACATAAAAAAATGGCAGAGCTAACGGTGATCAAGAAATCTTAAAAAAAAAAAAAAAAAAGCTTTGAAAAAAGTTTAGATCAAAGGCTAAATAAATACAAAAATAGATTAAAAAAATCATCTCACATTGATCATAAATATGGTAAAGGAAAAACAGGATCTTAACAGAAAAAGGGAAACTGAATTCCAGAAAGATGAAGAAAGTGAAAATTTCAGGGGGTAAAAGAAAACACCTCGGAGGCGGCGAGGCGGAGAGCGAAATTCCTGGTGGAGAGATGGCCGACCTCCCGTTGCCAAAGGTTCACCACCGCCTTGTCCAGGTTGTTTCTCGGCCTCTTTTTCATCGTTCCAGGTGGGGGGTCACTCAGTGAGTCGGGGCGAGTTAGAGAATCCGCTTCTCAGTTCCTGAGAGAAGAGAACCCAACAGAAAAGGGCAAAGCTTTCTCCTTTGTATAGCTGTGCTGAGCACACGTTGAGCGATCCTGTGCACGGTGGTGATGGATGTTCATTACAGTGTAACTCTCTCTCCTAATCCTGTTTACCCTGATGTATTAGCCTTTAATCATAGGGCATTAGTATCTTCTCTGTTCCTGGACCATCCATCTTTTTTTTTTTTCTTTAACCTAAGATTTGATTTTAAAAAGCATAAAAGTGTTCTTGTAAAACAAGCCTCACTACATATTATAAATTGTCTTTCAATAATTTATATTTTGTAAGAATT